AATAAAATTAAATTAAATTAAAAATTAAAAAAAGGATACGATGATAACTTATATTCACGAAATATTAAAATTTAAAAAAAATATTTTTCGATTTTAAATTCTGATATAATATTAAAAATGTATTTGCATTCCTTTCATTTTTTAAATGATTAATTTGTTATGCAATAAAGAGAAAATGGAATTTAAAAAAAAAATAAAATTAAATTTAAAAAGTAATGCGAATGCATTTAATGAATGCCATATTGAAATAGTCGGCCGATTAAATGGTTTATGAAAATTAGAATTTTAAATTCCAATTGTTAAATGATTTATGAAAATTAGAATTTTAAATTCCAATTGTTAAATGGTTTATGAAAATTAGAATTTTAAATTCCAATTGTTAAATGGTTTATGAAAATTAGAATTTTAAATTCCAATTGTTAAATGGTTTATAAAAATTAGAATTTTAAATTCCAATTGTCAAATGGTTTATAAAAATTAGATTTTTAAATTCCAATTGTTAAATGATTTATGAAAATTAGATTTTTTAAATTCTGATATTAAAATAAATTTTGATTTAAAATGCATCATTAATCATTTATTTGCGATTGAAAAATTTGAAATATACCCAATTATCAATAGCAATTATCAAAATTTTCCGAAAAAAAAAAAAAAACATTTTCAGTTTGAATTTAAAATTGCAAATGAATTTAAAAAAAAAAAAAAGGAAATTTTTTACTTATTAGTAGCAATGAATTAATTAATTATTGATATATTTTAATATAAAAATTAAAAAAAATTGCCAAAAATTATTTAAATTACATTGAATTTAAAATTGAAATTATTTTTTTTAATTTATATAAATTAAAAATGTTAAATGAATTTTAGCAAAAAAATAAAATATTTGAAAAAATTTTTTGTTTCAACAAAAAAAAAAAAAAATTTTAGCAAAATAATTTTTAGTTCAACAAAAGTAATTAATTTAAATTATGCAAACAGTTATAAAAAATATTTGAATGTAAAACAAATATATAAAAAATTTATAAACTTAAATAAAAAATTTTTTAGCAGCAAAATAAATTGTTAAATAAGAAATATAAATTGAAGAAATTTTTTTTTGCACTTAAAATTATAAACATTTAGCATTTATTTTTAAACTGTTTAAAAATTTTTAAAAAAAACAAATTGAAATTAAAAAAAAATTAAATTTGCACTTAAAATTATAAACATTTAGTTTTTGCTTTTAAATCTTTTAAAAATTTTTAAATAAACAAATTGAAATTAAAGAAATTGAATTTTTTTTTTATCACAAACATATCGCATGAATACAGTCAAGAAAGCAAAGTGATCTTTAAAAAGAATTTAAAAAACAAATAGAAATTAAAAAGGAATTTAAAAACAAAAAAAAATATTTAAAAGGAATTTAAAAAAAAAAAAACAAATATTCAAAGGGAATTTAGAAAGTAAATTTTAAAAAAGCTAGAAATGAGTTTCATAGCTTAAACAATCATTCTAAAAATAGAAATTAAAAATTTAAATTTCTTTATCACAGACTGATCGAATACAACCAAAAAAAGCAAAATTGATATTTAAAAAGAAATTAAAAAAGGAATTTAAAAACAAATAGAAATTAAAAATTTAAATTTCTTTATCACAGACCAATCGAATACAATCAAGAAAAGCAAAATGATATTTAAAAAGAAATTAAAAAAGGAATTTAAAAACAAATAGAAATTAAAAATTCAAATTTCTTTATCAAAGTGATATTTAATCAAAGTAATATTTTTTATCACAGACTGATCGAATACAATCAAAAAAAGCAAAATCGATATTTAAAAAGAAATTAAAAAAGGAATTTAAAAACAAATAGAAATTAGAAATTTAAATTTCTTTATCATAGACCAATCGGGTACAATCAAGAAAGCAAAATTGATATCAAATTGAAATTTAAAAAGAATTTAAAAACAGGTACACAACTTTGGGAATGTAGTAAAATTGAATTGCTTAGAATTGATGAAAAAGTACACAATTTGAAGAAAAGTTAAGAGGGAGAGAGAGAGAGAGAGAGAGAAGCATTTGAAAATGAAAAAAAAAAAAAAGTTATCTTAGCCAGAAAGTAAGTCAGTTAATAGCCTAACAAATCTATTCTAAAAGCCTAGTAGTAGTATTATCTTAATAGCATCTTTAAACACCTGTCAATTTAATTTTTTTTTTTAAAAAAAAAAAAAAACAAACAAAAATTACGTCATTTTTTATTATTGAAAAATGAATGAATGTAGGAAAGTTTTAATTGATAGTAAAATGATAATTAATGATAAATAATCATTTGCATTTAAAGTAACAATAATTTAGCGCTAAAAAATGATCAAAACAATTTGATCTTTACTAAAATTTAGTCTACTGATAAGATATTGTTAAAATTTATCTCAAATTATGCTCAAATTTAAAGTACATTCTCGAAATTTAATAAAAACAAGGAAAGGGCCCATTTTTCATATTGTAAATTAACACAGAAATTAATTATAAACTGATAACGTATTGATAAGAAATGATAAAATGATCAAAACAATTTTATTTTGACTAAAATTTAGTCTACTAATAAGATATTGTTAAAATTTATCTCAAATTATGCTCAAATTTAAAATACATTCTCGAAATTTAATCAAAAACAAAGAAAATATTTATTTTTCATATTGTAATTTAAGACAGGAATTAATTACAAACTGATAACGTATTGATAAGAATTGATAAAATGATCCAAACAATTTTATTTTGACTAAAATTTAGTCTACTGATAGGACATTGTTAAAATTTATCTCAAATTATGCTCAAAATTAAAGTACATTCTCGAAATTTGATAAAAAACAAAGAAAACGCTTATTTTTCATATTGTAATTTAAGACAGGAATTAATTATAAACTGATAACGTATTGATAAGCAATGATAAAATGATCAAACGATTTTATTTTGACTAAAATTTAGTCTACTGATAAGATATTGTTAAAATTTATCTCAAATTATGCTCAAATTTAAAGTAAAATCTCGAAATTTGATAAAAAACAAAGAAAACGTTTATTTTTCATATTGTAAATTAACATAGAAATTAATGATAAACTGATAACATATTGATAAGAATTGATAAAATGATCAAACAATTTTATTTTGACTAAAATTTAGTCTACTGATAAGATATTGTTAAAATTTATCTCAAATTATGCTCAAATTTAAAGTAAAATCTCGAAATTTAATAAAAAACAAAGAAAATGTTTATTTTTCATATTGTAATTTAAGACAGGAATTAATTATAAACTGATAACGTATTGATAAGAAATGATAAAATGATCAAAACAATTTTATTTTGACTAAAATTTAGTCTACTGATAAGATATTGTTAAAATTTATCTCAAATTATGCTCAAATTTAAAGTACATTCTCGAAATTTAATCAAAAACAAAGAAAATGTTTATTTTTCATATTTTAATTTAAGATAGGAATTAATTATAAACTGATAACGTATTGATAAGAATTGATAAAATGATCAAACGATTTTAGTTTGACTAAAATTTAGTCTACTGATAAGACATTGTTAAAATTTATCTCAAATTATGCTCAAATATAAAGTACATTCTCGAAATTTAATCAAAAACAAAGAAAATGTTTATTTTTCATATTGTAAATTAACACAGAAATTAATTACAAACTGATAACGTATTGATAAGAATTGATAAAATGATCAAACGATTTTATTTTGACTAAAATTTAGTCTACTGATAAGACATTGTTAAAATTTATCTCAAATTATGCTCAAATTTAAAGTACATTCTCGAAATTTAATAAAAACAAAGAAAATGTTTATTTTTCATATTGTAAATTAACACAGAAATTAATTATAAACTGATAACGTATTGATAAGAATTGATAAAATGATCAAACAATTTTATTTTGACTAAAATTTAGTCTACTGATAAGACATTGTTAAAATTTGTCTAAAATTATGCTCAAATTTAAAGTACATTCTCGAAATTTAATAAAAAACAAAGAAAATGTTTATTTTTCATATTTTAATTTAAAATAAGAATTAATTATGATAACGTATTGATAAGAATTGATAAAATGATTAAAACAATTTTATTTTGACTAAGATTTAGTCTACTGATAAGATATTGTTAAAATTTATCTCAAATTATGCTCAAATTTAAAGTAAAATCTCAAAATTTAATAAAAAACAAAGAAAATGTTTATTTTTCATATTGTAATTTAAGACAGGAATTAATTATGAACTGATAACATATTGATAAGAATTGATAAAAATTGATAAGCAAAAAAACATATATATTTTGATCAAATAAGAAAAAAATTTGCTAAATTTACATTAATAGTAAAAGTAATTCTACAATTTTTATACTGCAAATTAATACAAAATTTAATTATAAACTGATAACATATTGATAAGAATTGATAAAAATTGATAAACAAAAAAAACATATATATTTTAATTAAATACTGCTAAATTTGTATTTAATAGCAAAAATTAATTTTACCATATTTTTATTTTGATTACTACCAAAAAAAAAATTTTCTAATTCCATTACTAAATTAGAAAATTATTAAATTTCATTTTTCTAAAAAAAAAAAAATTTTATTTCAATAAATTTTAATTTTTACATTTATGAAAAAATTTATTTATTTATAAATTTTTTTTTTCTACAAATTTTATTTTAAATATTGAAATTAAAGAAAAAACAAAAATCTTTTCCAGCCAATTTAAAATTATTATATTTTATTTTTTAAAATTATTATATTTTATATTTTGCATAATTTGATTGAAATTACAAAATTTTGTAAATCAATTAATAATTGTTAAAAAATTTTTAACTAATTAAAAGGGGGATTTTACGGCAGTTTCAATGGTGACGAATAGCTCCATATAAAAATTTATATGCAGTTGTGATGATTTCAATAAAATTTTATTTTTTGTTTTTTCTTTTTGCTCTCTTTTGATTTTTAATTAAATAAATGAGATGAACACAAGTGACACGGATAAAATAGATGTGACAAGAGATGTGACAATAGATGTGACAAGAGATGTGACAAGAGATGTGACAATAGAGGTGACAAGAGATGTGACAAGAGATGTGACAATAGAGGTGACAAGAGATGTGACAAGAGATGTGACAAGAGATGTGACAATAGAGGTGACAAGAGATGTGACAAGAGATGTGACAATAGAGGTGACAAGAGATGTGACAAGAGATGTGACAATAGAGGTGACAAGAGATGTGACAAGAGATGTGACAAGAGATGTGACAATAGAGGTGACAAGAGATGTGACAAGAGATGTGACAATAGAGGTGACAAGAGATGTGACAAGAGATGTGACAATAGAGGTGACAAGAGATGTGACAAGAGATGTGACAATAGAGGTGACAAGAGATGTGACAAGAGATGTGACAAGAGATGTGACAATAGAGGTGACAAGAGATGTGACAAGAGATGTGACAATAGAGATGACAAGAGATGCGACAAGAGATGTGACAATAGAGGTGACAAGAGATGTGACAAGAGATGTGACAAGAGATGTGACAATAGAGGTGACAAGAGATGTGACAAGAGATGTGACAATAGAGGTGACAATAGAGGTGACAAGAGATGTGACAAGAGATGTGACAATAGAGATGACAAGAGATGCGACAAGAGATGTGACAAGAGATGTGACAATAGAGGTGACAAGAGATGTGACAAGAGATGTGACAATAGAGGTGACAAGAGATGTGACAATGAAAGGAAGAAAAATTTTTTGAAAGGAAAATTTTAGCATTTGAAATTATTATTATTGTAGCATTTGCAATGATCAATGATCATTTCTTAAATTTGAAATATAAATTAACAAAAATTGAAAAAAAGTATATCAAATAATGATGATTAAAGAGTTTGAAACTATTTTATAAATTAAAAATGTAAATAATAAATTAATTTAAATTACTTTTTTAAAACAAAAATATAAATTAATTTAAATTCCTTCTTTTAAAAACAAAAATATAAATTAATTTAACATTTCTTATATTTTTAAAAAAATATGAAATAATAATGATTAGAGAGTTTGAAACTATTTTATAAATTAAAAATGTAAATAATAAATTAATTTAAATTACTTTTTTGAAACAAAAATTTTAATTAATTTAAATTTCTTTCTTTAAAACAAAAAAAATTAATTAATTTAAATTCTTTTTTTGAAGCAAAAATATTAATTAATTAAAATTCCATTTTAATGAAAGGCGAAAAATGAAATTTTATTTAAAAAATGATTTCACATGAAAGTATGTTAAAATTGCAAATAAATAAATTTATTATAAAAAAGTCTTTTTTTTATTTTTTGAAATTTTTGAAAAAATATTCTAATTGGTGCTATTTTGTCTTTTTTTTTTCTTAACAATAACGAATGTTTTTCTCGAGAAAAAGAAAAAACTATTGACAAAGTCTCGAGAATGATAAGATTAAATTTAAATTTCATTTTTCTCTCTTCTCATATAGCTTTGAGTTTTCAAATTTTTTGCATTCTTTCTAATATTTCAAATTTTGTAAATTTATCTAAAAGTTTTTCAAAAATTTTTCAAAAAAAAAAAAATTACTTTAATAAAAAACAAAAGAATAAAATATAAATGTTTTTTACTTATTTATATATAATAAAATTAAAATATAAATGTATTTTACTTATTTATATATAATAAAATTATCTTTTATCAATTGATAATACTTTAATTCTAAATGAAAAGTTTTTTTTTTCTTTCTTTCTGAATTTTTTATGAATTTATTAAAATTTCATATAAATTTAATAATTGAAAAAAATAATTAAAATTTGTTGAAATAAAAAAAAACTATAAAAGGATTATTAAAAATTTTTGTTGCATTCATATTTGGATTAAATTTTAATCAAATAGAAATAATAGTTTTTTCTTTCTTTACTAATCTTTCTTCAACTGACAGTTAAATTTTTAATTTTAAAACTTTGCTCAAAAATTAAATATTATTCACTAATTTATAAAATGCAAAAATTAAATATTATTTATTAATTGATTTAAAAATTTAAAAAAAAATAAATAAAATAAGAATTTTTAATTTTTTCTTTTTGCTAATCTTTTTTCACTAACAGTTAAAATTTTAATTTTAAAACTTTGCTCAAAATGCTAATTTTGCAAGAATTAAGTATTATTAATTTCTAAAATGCAAAAATTAAATATTATTTACGAATTTACAAAATACAGTAAATAATATTTAATTTACTAATTTATAAAATGCAAAAATTAGATATTATTTATTAATTTATAAAGTGTAAAAATTAAATATTATTTATTAATTTATAAAGTGTAAAAATTAAATATTATTTATTAATTTATAAAATGCAGTAAATAATATTTAATTTGCTAATTTATAAAATGCAAAAATTAGATATTATTTATTAATTGATTTAAAAATTTAAAAAAAAAATAAAATAAAATAAAAATTCTTAGTGTTTTTTACCAATCTTTCTTCACTAACAGTTAAAATTTTAATTTTAAATATTTATTAAATATTATTTAAAAATTAAATATTATTTATTAATTTTTAAAATGCAAAAATTAAATATTATTTATTAATCGATTTAAAAATTTAAAAAAACAAAAAATAAAATAAAAAATAAATATTTTAAGCTAAGCGCACATACAATCATAAATTAATCGTTTATTTGCTGTAATAAATGAATTTTATACATTGGAATGTAGTCTGAATAACATTTATCCAAAAAAAAAAAAAATAAATTTTTTCGTTTTTTTTTTTTAAATAAATTTTTTTTAGTTTTTTATTTTATTATTTTTGCTAACATAAATGATTATTTCATCGCGTGTGAAATGAAATTGAAATTAGAAAATTTTTTAATGTAAAAAATATATGCAAAAAAGTGCTTCGCTCTTTTTTTTTTTTTTTTAAATAAAATTTTTTGAATTTTTTTTTTTTTTTTGAATAAAAATAAAATTAAACATTTAGTTAATTGCAAAAATTCCAAAAAGAAAAAAAATGAATAATAAATTAATTACATTAATTGCAAATTGTAATGCATTTGCATGCAAAATGCATGCCTAACAATTTTTATTATCATTTATTGTCGAAAAAATATTATCAAAATTATCAATAATTATCACATTGATTACAAATTGTAATGCATTTGCATGCAAAATGCATGCCTAACAATTTTTATTATCATTTATTGTTGAAAAAAATTATCAAAAATTATCAAAATTATCAGAAAAAAGTTTTGTAACAATAAAATTTATCATTTCAAAGCTATGATTGAATGTGAAATTATTGATTAGTTAAAAAATTATTATTAAAATATATTTTTATATAATAATAAATGCCTAATATTTTTTATTATTATTTATTTTTTTATTATTATTGTCAAAAAAATATTTTTTTATTATTATTGTCAAAAAAAAAATTATCAAAGATTATCAAAAATTATCAAAATTATCAGAAAAAAATTTTTATAACAATAAAATTTATCATATTTGCATTGTAATCTTATTGTATTAGTAATTTGCTTTTTATTCCAATAATCTCTTTTTGCTTATCATTGAATGTGAAATTATTGATTAATTAAAAAGTTATTATTAAAATATATTTTATATAATAATAAATGATCAAAAGAAAAAAAAAAGGGCGGAAATGTGGCGAAAAATAAGGCAAAAAATAATTGGACAATAAGTAGAGCATTTGCTTATTTGCATTGTAATCTTATTGTATTAGTAATTTGCTTTTTATTCCAATAATCTCTTTTTGCTTTTTTCACTTTTATTTTTTTCCACTTTAATCTTTTAAATAATTCAAAATTTCAAAAAACACAATAAAATTGTATGGCAAATTAAAATCAATATTTAATGAAATTCTATTTTTAATTCTCGAATTTATTTTTTTTTTTTTGATTCTCGAACTTATTCGATGACATTGTTTATGATAACTAGCTTTTTTTTTTGAAATAAATTATAAATTCATTTAACTTTTGAAAGTATATAGCTAAAAAAAAAAAATTTTTTTTTGAAATGGATTTATTCATAAATATATTTACATATCAAATTAGCTTAATTAAAGTATGTTAGCTTATAAATAATTAGCTCAGTGTTTGTTATTTGTATGCTAAAAAAAAAAAAATTGTTGTCCAAGCTTTGATATTTTTTAAAATTGAAATTTGATTAAATTAAATTTCACTAATTTAAAAGTGATGGAAAAAGAAAAAAGGGCGTTGACTTAAAAGATTAAATATGGATTTTTCTTTTTTTTTTTTTAGTAAAATATGCAGCTAAAAGAGTAAGTGTAAACATCGAATGCTTCAAGCAAAAAAAAAAAAAATAAATTTATTTAAAGTAAGCTATTTTGGCTTTAGCTAATAATAGTTTTTGTTTATGATAGATGGAATGTGTAAATTAATTTATTTATATATTTTTAATTGTTTTATTTTATGTGCTTTTTTTTTATTTGGTTTGTTTGCATTTTTTAATTTATGAAAAGTTTGTTTAAATTTAAATGTTTTAATTAATTAATTTAAATTTTCAATCGAATGATTTAAATAATTGATGCAAATTCTTAGTTAATTTAATCGATTGATTAGAAATTTTTAATTAATTTAATCGATTGATTAGAAATTTTTAAATGATTTAATCGATTTTCGCTTTAGCTAATAATAGTTTTTGTTTATGATAGATGGAATGTGAAAATTAATTTATTTAAATATTTTTAATTGTTTTGTTTTATGTGCTTTTTTTTATTTGGTTTGTTTGTTTTTTTTTTTAATTTATGAAAAGTTTGTTTAAATTTAAATGTTTTAATTAATTGATTTAAATTTTTAATCGAATGATTTAAATAATTGATGCAAATTCTTAGTTAATTTAATCGATTGATTAGAAATTTTTAATTAATTTAATCGATTGATTAGAAATTTTTAAATGATTTAATCGATTTTCGCTTTAGCTAATAATAGTTTTTGTTTATGATAGATGGAATGTGAAAATTAATTTATTTAAATATTTTTAATTGTTTTGTTTTATGTGCTTTTTTTTATTTGGTTTGTTTGTTTTTTTTTTTTAATTTATGAAAAGTTTGTTTAAATTTAAATGTTTTAATTAATTGATTTAAATTTTTAAATGATTTAATTAATTGATGCAAATTCTTAACTAATTTAATCGATTTATTAGAAGTTTTTAAATGATTTATCGATTGATTAGAAATTTTTAAATGATTTAATCGATTTTGGCTTTAGTTAATAATAGTTTTTGTTTATGATAGATGGAATGTGTAAATTAATTTATTTATATATTTTTAATTGTTTTGTTTTTTTTTTTGTGTGTGCTTTTTTTATTTGGTTTGTTTGCATTTTTTAATTTATGAAAAGTTTGTTTAAATTTAAATGTTTTAATTAATTGATTTAAATTTTTAAATGATTTTATCGATTGATTTAAATTTTCAATTGATTTTAGGTTAGATTTATTATCACTCATTTATCATTTGAATAATAGGAAATGGTTTGATAAAATTATGAATTGATTCAAATTTTTAAATGATTTAATTGATTGATTTAAATCTTTAAATGATTCAATCCATTGATTTAAATTTTTAATTGATTTTAGATTAGATTTATTATCATTTGAATAATAGGAAATGGTTTGATAAAATTATGATAACGACAAAAATGCTTTATCAATTTAATCAATTTCAAAATTCTTTTTTTTTTTCTGTTTCCATTTCTGATTGCAGAATGAAATGAATTTTTATTGAGATATGATCACAATATATCACTGATATGTTTCGTATCAGTAATTTCTCGAAAATTATCAGTCATAAAGATGACAACAAAATGGTCAAATTATTGATGCGAGGAAATTCGACAACCGAATTTCCTGGAAGGTTGAATTTATCACTGTTTATTGATCTATAACTTTTGAGAAAGTTAAATTACTGCTTTATTTTTGATAAAAATGATAAAAAATGATAATTTTTGCATATATATTATCATCTTCTTATCAGTTTTCATAAATATAATTGGTTGAATTTATCACTGTTTACTGATCTATAACTTTTGGAAAAGTTAAATTACTGCTTTATTTTTGATAAAAATGATAAAAATGATAATTTTGGCATATATATTATCATCTTCTTATCAGTTTTTATAAATATAATTGGTTGAATTTATCACTATTGATCTATAACTTTTGGAAAAGTTAAATTACTACTTTATTTTTGATAAAAATGATAAAAAAAAATTTTTTTTGGTATATATTATCACTTTATTATCAGTTTTTATGAATATAGTTGGTTGAATTTATCACTGTTTACTGATCTATAACTTTTGGAAAAGTTAAATTACTGCTTTATTTTTGATAAAAATGATAAAAAAAATTTTTTTTGGTAATTATTATCATTTTCTTATCAGTTTTTATGAATATAATTGGCTGAATTTATCATCGTTTATTGATTCTTAACCTTTGAGAAGATCAAATTATTGTTTATTTTCTGATAAAAATGATTAAAAAAAACCTTTTTGGTAATTATTATCACTTTCTTATCAGTTTTTATGAATATAATTGGTTGAATTTATCACTGTTTACTGATCTATAACTTTTGGAAAAGTTAAATTACTGCTTTATTTTTGATAAAAATGATAAAAAAAAAACCTTTTTGGTAATTATTATCACTTTCTTATCAGTTTTTATGAATATAATTGGCTGAATTTATCACTGTTTACTGATCTATAACTTTTGAGAAAGTTAAATTACTACTTTATTTTTGATAAAAATGATAAAAAATGATAATTTTGGCATGTATATTATCATCTTCTTATCAGTTTTTATGAATATAATTGGTTGAATTTATCACTGTTTACTGATCTATAACTTTTGAGAAAGTTAAATTATTGTTTATTTTCTGATAAAAATGATTAGAAAAAACTTTTTTGGTAATTATTATCACTTTCTTATCAGTTTTTATGAATATAATTGGCTGAATTTATCACCGTTTATTGATTCTTAACCTTTGAGAAGGTCAAATTATTGTTTAATTTCTGATAAAAAATATTAGAAATTTGATAAAAATGATAAAAAATTATCATTTTTTTTAATTATCATCTTCTTATCAGTTTTAATGAATATAAATTTGTTGCAAAATTAATGAAAATTTTTCATATAATATTTTATAAGAAGTAAAATATTGTTATTTTTTTATTAATTAAAAAAAGTTACTAAATTAAAATTGAAATTTTAATTGTTTGAATAATAACAGAAATAATTTCATATTTAATTTCATTAAATATTTATAAAAACAATGAAATTTTGCGAAAATTTTTTAAGCAAAATTAATAAATTATCAATTTAAGTAACTTTTAAGTAAAATTTTTAATCAATAATTATTACATTCAAAAATTTTATCATAATTTTCTTACAAAGTATTAAAGTTAATTGTAAGTAATCAGAAGATATTAGTCAGAATAATTACAGGTTAATTCGTATTTTGCTAAAAGTTTTAAATTGCTGTGGCAGAATAAATTGTGTTACTTAAATTGTGGTAAACAAAAAAGTGTAAACAAAAAAGTGTAAACAAAAGACTCTCAAAAATTTGTGAAAGTATTTTTAAGTTTTAAATTATTTAATAATGCATTATTCACTTATTCAAATAATTTATAATTTCACAGTGTCATTGTAACTATTATAATAAATATTTAAAATTTAGAAAAAAAAATTAAATTAAAATTTGAAAATGCAACTTTGAATAATTTCTATATTAAATGAAATTTATTAATTCAAATAAATAAGATAAAATCTTTTTCTTAATTAATTAAATTTAATTAATAATTAATTTAACAATTAATTATTTGTAAAAAATTGCAGGCAAGCATTAGTATCACGATATTCATCATTTGTTATTCTTGGATTAATTGTATTATTTATTATTGTCGCATACATTCAGCATGTTTACGTGAAATACGAGACACGTGTTCGTTCCAGACGTAGAAAACGTCATAAACTTATAGTATGTTTATTATTTATTTCCATTTAGCATATCTTATATCAGTTTATCAGTTTATATCAATTTATCCATTTTTATTCTAACAATTATAAATTTCCTCTTTTTGTTTTTTTTTTTTTATAATTTCAATTTTATATTTTATATCAGCTTATCAGTTTATCAGTTTATGTCAATTTATCTATTTTTATTTTAACAATTATAAATTTTCTTTACTTGTTTTTTATCAGTTTATACCAACTTATCTATTTATCAGTTCACATCAGTTTGTCCATTTATCAGTTTATATCAGCTTATCAGTTTATCAGTTTGTCAGTTTATTATATCAGCTTATCAGTTTACATCAATTTATCCATTTTTATTTAAACAATTATAAATTTTCTTTTTTCGATTTTTTTTATAATTTCAATTTTATATTTTATATCAGCTTATCAGTTTATCAGTTTATGTCAATTTATCTATTTTTATTTTAACAATTATAAATTTTCTTTACTTGTTTTTTATCAGTTTATACCAGCTTATCCATTTATCAGTTTGCATCAGTTTACTCATTTATCAGTTTATATCAGCCTATCAGTTTATCAGTTTATGTCAGTTTATCAGTTCATATCAGTTTATCCATTTTTATTATAACAATCATAAATTTTCTTTACTTGTTTTTATCACTTTATATCAGCTTATTCATTTATATCAGTTTATCACTTTATATCAGCTTATCCATTTATATCAGTTTCTATCAGTTTATCAGTTTATATCAGCTTATCCATTTATCAGTTTATATTAGCTTATGCATTTATCAGTTTATATCAGCTTATCCATTTATATCAGTTTCTATCAGCTTATCCATTTATCAGTTTGCATCAGTTTATCAGTTTGCATCAGTTTACTCATTTATCAGTTTATATAAGCTTATCAATTTATCAGTTTATATCAATTTATCCGTTTTCATTCTAACAATTATAAATTTTCTTTCTTTTTTTTTTTTTGTCTATAATTTCAGCTCAAAGAATGCAGTTAATAGATTATTGATAAAATATACTGTGATAAAAATAAATAATTGATTGATATTGATATGATTATCAGTTGATACGATTATAAATTTTACTTATTCAACTTATTTTGATATTTCAATTTGTATTAATATAATTAATATAAAAGTTTAGCAATTTTTTTTGCACAACGTTTAATAATAAACAAATTTTTGAAAAATTAATTTTAAAAAAAAAAAAAAAAATGTTAAAATTTTTTCATTTCTTTTTTGAAATTATGCTTATTGATGTGTTAAATTTTCAAATGATACTTTAATGCATCAATAATTAAAGTAATTTTTTATTTATTTTTTTTTGGGGGGGGTAAATTAAATTCAAAAAAAAAAAATTGAAAGATGAAAAATGATGAGCAGTTGGTGATGTCCAAAATAATATACACAAAGTCAATTTTGTAATTTTAAAATTGAAAAAAAAAAATTTTTTGTTTTTCTTTTTTTTATTGCTATCAAATTTGTTGTAAAAAAAAAAAAAAATTAATTGAATGTTTGAATCAATAAATTGATGATATTTTAATAAAAATTTTTTTTTTTGTTTATTTGACAAACTTTTACAAAAAAAAAAAATGAAATTAAAAAATGAAAATGATAGTAACTACTATTATACATATTTTTTTTTTAAATTGAAAAAAATAAAAAATTCAAAAGTTTGATAAATTCATATTTAATCATTTAAATACTTTTGGAACTTTTAAAATGCTTATTATTTTACTTTTACTCAAATCTTTTCAGGTTTTTTCTTTTTTGATTTCCTATATAGCAACTAGTCTTCAATTTACTTTTTACTAGCTAATCCGGAAAACCGTAAATTAAATTCAAATCTGAACGCATAAACAAAATGTCTAAATAACACAAATTTATTAGCTATGAGATAAAAGAATCAATAATTTATAGCCAAATTAGACTTTGAAAGAAATGGAAAACTGAATGCTGGGCCATTTTAGGCTCTTTAAAGTGTAAAATGCAAAGAGTACATGGCCAGAAAACTAGCTGCTGTCCCCAGTCTCTTGCAAGTAGATTTGATATAAGTAAAGAGTAATGTAAGTAAGTATAAAGTAAACATTACACTGAAAATATTTGAAAAAAAAAGTGTAAAAAATAAATTAATTTCAAAGTTTTTCAAAATTTTCCATGCTGCAAGTTGTGACACATTACTTTATAAAGGTGACAATGTTTAATTACTTATTACTGATTTGATAATGAAAATGTTTCAATAAAAAGTAAATAACTTAACTGCTGAATACTTTTTTTTATAAATAAACAAACAAAAAACATAAAACCTTAGTGTGTTACGTCGAGTAACAAACGTATCACGTACGCTTCCATTCCACGTATTCTAAAATTATAAGTCAACTTGAACAAACCGATAATTGCAGGTGATTTTCAGAAACTCTCAGATAATTAATAGTTGCAGCGATGATCAAAGAAAATTTGAGAGAGTTTTAATTTGTTGAAATTATCTCAAACTGAGAGACTCTTCCACTATTTGAAATTGTTGAATTTAAATTTGTTAAATTTATTTCAATCTTCGAACGCTCATTTAAAAGTGTAAAATTGATTGATCAAAATGATAATGGCATCGATTGATCGATCGATCGATCAGTGTTGCTTGAATGGCTGAATTGATGAGTGATCTGATTGATCTGATCGATCGATCGATCAATATTGCTTGAATGGCTGAATTGATGAGTGATCTGATCGACCGATCGATCAATGTTGCTTGAATAGCTGAATTGGTGAGTGATTTGGTTGATCTGATTGATCGATCGATCAATGTTGCTTGAATGACTGAATTGGTGAGTGATCTGGTTGATCTGATCGATCGATCGATCAATGTTGCTTGAATGGCTGAATTGATGAGTGATCTGATCGATCGATCGATCAATGTTGCTTGAATGGCTGAATTGGTGAGTGATCTGATTGATCTGATCGATCGATCGATCAATGTTGCTTGAATGGCTGAATTAGTAAATGATCTGATTGATTTGATCAATCTATCAATCAATGTTGCTTGAATGGCTGAATTGATGAGTGATCTGATTGATCTGGTCGATCGATCGATCAATGTTGCTTGAATGGCTGAATTGGTGAGTGATCTGATTGATCTGATCGATCAATGTTGCTTGCTTGAATGGCTGAATTAGTGAGTGATCTGATTGATTGATCGATCAATGTTGCTTGAATGGCTGAATTGGTGAGTGATCTGATTGATCTGATCGATCGATCAATCAATGTTGCTTGAATGGCTGAATTGGTAATCTGATCTGATTGATCTGATCGATCGATCGATCAATGTTGCTTGAATGGCTGAATTGGTGAGTGATCTGATTGATCTGATCAAAGTGATCTGATCGATCAAACATTACTTACTGTTATCAACTGATACTCAAAATTACTTCCTTCTTGGCTCTATCTATTACTTTTTGGCTCAAAATTTCTCATTTCCATTTTGCTATAGAATTGTTCATTATTTCAATGAAAAAAAAAAAAAAAAAAAAAATTATATATCGCATCGCTACTGCTAATGGAAAGCTTTTTAGATTCTGAAATTCAATCAAGTTTTGAAGACTCATTAATGAGCTGCTAATTTTGAGTGGTTTTAGCTAATTAAATTTATTTTAGCTCAGTAAATCAGTATGACTCACACAATTTTTCAATTCATTCTGATAATGTTTACACTTTAGATGTAAACATTTTCGAGCTTTTCAGTTCAACTTTAGAGTTTTACTTCAATAAAATTAACAAACAATTTTGCGGGTAAAACTTTTTTGCCCAAAAAATATGTAAAATCATTATCAATGAAGCATTTTTTTTTTAATTTTTGGGCAAAAAAAATGCTTGAAATTGAATATTTGGTTTAAATTCTTTGTAATTAAATCTGTTTGGAATTTAATTTTAATTATAATTTAGTTCAGTTTATCATACAAACTGTTTTCCACATATTAAATTATTAATAAATTTGCAACAAAAAAAAAAGATAAATCGGTCAAAAATAAATTTTGTAAAAAGTAATAAATAAATTTGTTTTTGAATTTAACAAATTTATTATGGCATATTAAATTTCATTTTGAATTTAAAATACTATTGCTAGCTACAACAATTGCAAACAATTTAAATTAGTTATAAAAATAAAATATATTATTTGATATACAATAATGTCTTATATTTTTCTCATCAAATATTATTTTTATTGCTAAACTCATTAATTAAATTCACATTTGTTTATTGTTTACAATCAGAGATTAATTTAAGTTAGTAATTAATAAACAACAATTGCATTCACTCATAAATATTACATACATCCATAAACAATGCTCTAATTAGAAAAATTTTTAAAAATATTATAATTAAATTAAATAAAAATTAAAATTAAACAAAATAAAATCAAATAATTGAATAAATCAATAAGAAATATGTATTAAAATTAATTTATACAGATATCAGCAATTCAGAATATAATATAATTCATTCCTGAAATCTGCAACTAAATACGGAAAATTCTGCCGGATATAATTGAAATTAAGTTATTAAAAAATGATTTGTTTTGATGTTGAAATGATAAATTAAAAGAAATCAATGTAGCAAAACATAAACATCTAATGAAGAAGAAGCAAAATTGTCATTTCATATGTTATTTACTAATTATCTTTATTTACTAATTATCATTCTCATTTAACATAATTATCAAATTTTAATTTTACACCTTTTTTTTAATAAATTAATTAAACTCTGACAAAAATAAAATGAAATGGTGTTTACTTTGTTTACAATAATGTTTGCTCTGTTTACTATAATGTTAACTTTGTTTACTTATAATAATACTTTTAAAATGAATTATTTTGATTGATTAATTTGATCATTTATTCAAATTTTCATTACACAAAACAAAAAAATCTTTTCAAAAATCTTTTTCAGCTATTAATTATAAATAAATTTTTAGTTTTTTTTTACGAAAGTACAATTTTCATTTGCTTTATAATAAGTAAATATATGCTTATTTCTATTTATTCATCACTAATTTGCTTATTTTTTCCATCTTTTAGCTTCAATTTGTTTATAAAAATAAACAAATAATTCATCTATGCGTTGGTTTTATTGTTTGTTTATTTATCTATTTGAAATAACGATGTAAAATTGCAAAATTTCATTTTTTATATGAAGTGAATATATGCATATTTCTATTTATTTATCATTTATTTGCTTACTTTTTTCCATCTTTTAGCTTCAATTTGTTTATAAAAATAAACAAATAATTCATCTATGCGTTGGTTTTATTGTTTGTTTATTTATTTATTTGAGATAACGATGAAAAATTGCAAAATTTCATTTTTTATATGAAGTGAATATATGCATATTTCTATTTATTTATCATTCATTTGCTTATTTTTTCCATCTTTTAACTTCAGTTTGTTTATAAAAATAAACAAATAACTCATTCATGCGTTGCTTTTATTGTTTGTTTATTTATCTATTTGAAATAAAGATGAATTCATCATTTATTTGCTTATTTTTTCCATCTTTTAGCTTCAATTTGTTTATAAAAATAAACAAATAATTCATCTATCTGTTGCTTTTATTGTTTGTTTATTTATTTATTTGAAATAACAACGAAAAATTGCAAAAAAAAACAGAAAGCATTCATTGATTCATCATAAAATGTAAACAACTTTTTTTTCATAGGCTCAATCCATTCTTTCTTTTAAATTTACTTTTAGTAAAACATTCAATTTTACTAAATTTTTTTTTGTGCAAACAAATTCAATTGCATTTTAAATTGACCAAAAATTGTCACAGCTAGTGTCGCTTCATCGATATACAAAATTTGTTTAATTTCCTTTTTAATCCTTTCAGTTTTGCTAGTTTGCAATATTATTGCAATTATTAATATTTCAACAATAAAAAAAAAAAAATTTAACAAATTTTAAAAATTTTAATACCTTAATCCATCATATTAAATATACTTATAATTGTAGGTAAATAATTTTTGTAGGCAAAAAAAATGTAAATTGCTAAAGCAGTTAAAGAATTATTTACAACAATAATTTATTGCACAATTTGTTTATTTGTTTGTTTATTTATTTATTTATTTTTAATTTCAATTTTGTTGAAAAAAATTTCATATTATCCTAACAATTAGTCTATTTTTGTGTTATTAGAATCAATAATTTAAATTTACAGTAATAATAGAAAAATAAACATTTTGTTTATTTTTTTTTTCATTTTGTTTGTTTACTTTTTCCTATTTTTCGTTTTATAAATGCTTAAGAGAAGATTTAGATACCTTTGTCAAATCATTTTAAAAGCAATGAATTTTTATCTAAACAATTTGTCATCAATGTATAAAAAAAAGGTTTTTTTTTTCATTAATAAATAATTTTTTTTGCTTATTTCCTTTTTTAGAAAAATAAATTTTTTCTTTTAAAGTTGTTTTAATTTAATTAAAACTTATTAAAATTTTAAGTATTTTTAAATTTAAATTTTTTTGTCTTCCTACCATCAAAAAATATACATATATATTTATATTTATTTTGATATTATTTATTAAATAATATAAATTAACCTATGAAAATTATTTATTGAAAATCAATGAAAGTTATTAATATGTTTTAATTACTTTTTTTTTGAATTAAATATTTTAGTTACATTTTTAAAATTTTTTACGGAAATTCCGTAAATTGTAAATGAGAAAAAGAATTTTTTTTTTTCCGTTTCCTTTTTTTTCTCCAAAATTTTCAGTAATACATAAAAAGCAAAAATTATAAAATATGAAATGAAATTAGCAAATTTTGAATCTATTTTAATTTTTTTTTTAATTTTTTTTTTTTGCAATTCACTACTAGAAGCATCGATAATTTATTTCTTTTCTATTTTAAAATTTAGAAATTTCAAAAAAAAAAAAAATTAGACTGAAGAAAAAAGAAAAAGGAAATTTCCATTAGCAGTAGCGATGCGATATACAAATTTAATTTCATTGAAATAATGAACAATTCTATAGCAAAATGGAAATGAGAAATTTTGAGCCAAAAAGTAATAAAAAGAGCCAAGAAGGAAGTAATTTTGAGCCAAAAAGTAATAGATAGAGCCAAGAAGGAAGTAATTTTGAGTATCAGTTGGTAACAGTAAGTAATGTTTGATCGATCAGATCAATCAGATCAGATCACCAATTCAGCCATTCAAGCAACATTGATCGATCGATCGATCAGATCACTCAGCAATTCAGTCATTCAAGCAACATTGATCGGTAGATTGATCAAATCAATCAGATCACTTACTAATTCAGCCATTCAAGCAACATTGATCGATCGATCGATCAGATCAATCAGATCACTCATCAATTCAGCCATTCAAGCAACATTGATCGATCGATCGATCAGATCACTCACCAATTCAGCCATTCAAGCAACATTGATCGATCGATCGATCAGATCACTCACCAATTCAGCCATTCAAGCAACATTGATCGATCGATCGATCAGATCACTCACCAATTCAGCCATTCAAGCAACATTGATCGATCGATCGATCAGATCACTCACCAATTCAACCATTCAAGCAACATTGATCGATCGATCGATCAATCGATGCTATTATCACTTTGACCAATCAATTTTACACTTTTAAATGAGCGTTCGAAGATTGGAATAAATTTAACAAATTTAAATTCAACAATTTCAAATAGTGGAAGAGTCTCTCAGTTTGAGATAATTTCAACAAATTAAAACTCTCTCAAATTTTCTTTGATCATCGCTGCAACTATTAATTATCTGAGAGTTTCTGAAAATCACCTGAAATTATTGGTTTGTTCAAGTTGACTTACAATTTTAGAATACGTGGAATGGAAGCGTACGTGATACGTTTGTTACTCGACGTAACACACTAAGGTTTTATGTTTTTTTGTTTGTTTATTTATTAAGAAAAGTATTCAGCAGTTAAGTTATTTACTTTTTATTGAAATATTTGATTATCAAATCAGTAATAAGTAATTAAACCTTTTTAAGACCTTTTCTACAGCTCTGTAAAGTAATATTAAAATTGGTAGTTAAAAAAAAAAAAATTAAATTTCATTCTTTTATTAATTATTTAATCATTAATTTTTCAAAGTAGTAATTTGCATAATGAATTTGAATTTGAATTTAATTTTTAAATTATTTTATTATTATTATTTACATTTCATTTTAATTTGAATGAATTAATCGATATAATTAATGTTTGAATTTAATTTTTAAATTATTTTATTATTATTATCATTATTTACAATTCATTTTAATTTTAATTGAATTTGAAAAGTTATAATAAAAATAAAATTTTAAAAGATTGAATTAAATGAACAATAATTTATGAAATTAATTTTATTATTTGAATTAAAATTTTTTCGAATTATTTGCAATTTCGAATTTAATATTTTTTTTTTTTTACAATTTCATTTTATGAGTTTTCTCATTGAAATTTCCTTTTTTTTTTTCGAAAAAAAAAGAGAAAAAGTTGCATTTCATTTGAGTTTGCTGAAAAATTTTTTTGAAAATAAAAAATTAATAATTTTAATTGCATTTTAGAAAAAAAATAATTAAAATAGATGAAATTGAATGTTTGAAAATATTATTAATGTGAAAAAGTATAATGAAAGTATTTTAATTTAGCTGACTAAATTGATGACAGCTGATGACATCTAGAAAAGTAATATTACAAAAAAAAAAAAATTTTTAATTATCTAATCTAAACGATAAATATTATAATATAACTTTAAAGTAAGTTAATTAAAAGTTAATTAAAAAGTAATTGATCAAAAGTAAGTTAATTAAAAAGTAATTGATCAAAAATTAAAATTACGTAAGATAATGCAAATATTAATTGTATCAATATGCTTTGAGCTAATTAAATTTAAAATTAAAAAAAATTTTTTAAACTTAAATTTAAAAATTTAAATTTAATTAATCAATTAGAAATTTTTGCTTTCATAATTAAATTCAAAAAAGATTTGTTGCAAATTTTTATCAAAGAAAAAATTTATTAGTTTAAAAATTTTTTCCTTTTTTATTATTTTATTATGGAATATTTACATTACTTTCAATTAATCTTTGTTATTCTTCGCAATAATAAAGTAATTATATTTGAAATTAAATTTTCATTTTCAATAATAATATTTTTTAAATAAAATTTAAACTTAAAAATTTAAATGTAAAAAATAAATCATATTTTTTTGAAAATATTTTTTATATCTTTTAAATATGCTAGAAAAGAAAATAATTGAAATTAAATAAATTCTTGTAAAAATCTCGCATTATTTCAACTTTTAAATATATTTAAAAGTAACTTTTAATTTCCGTTTTCAAACAAACTTACTTTTAATTTTATTTTTTGACTTACTTTTCAAAGCAAATTTTCATTTCAACAAATATCTCAAACTTTTTTTCTGTTTAGGTAATATGCAAAAAGATTTTGATCTTAAGTGAGACAATAGTGCCATTAACTGAGCTCTTTTTCTCGACGGACGAATCTAATTAGTACATATTTCTTTATATTTATTTTGATATTTATTTATTTAATTTCGATATTTATTTATTTTATTTGGAATTTAAATATTTATTTATTTAGTTTAGGTATTTATTTATTTAATTTCGATATTTATTTATTTAATTTAGAATTTAGGTATTTATTTATTTAATTTCGATATTTATTTATTTAATTTAGAATTTAGATATTTATTTATTTAATTTCGATATTTATTTATTTTATTTAGATATTTATTTATTTAATTTAGAATTTAGATATTTATTTATTTAATTTCGATATTTATTTATTTTATTTGGAATTTAAATATTTATTTATTTAGTTTAGGTATTTATTTATTTAATTTCGATATTTATTTATTTAATTTAGAATTTAGGTATTTATTTATTTAATTTCGATATTTATTTATTTAATTTAGAATTTAGATATTTATTTATTTAATTTCGATATTTATTTATTTTATTTGGAATTTAAATATTTATTTATTTAGTTTAGGTATTTATTTATTTAATTTCGATATTTATTTATTTAATTTAGAATTTAGGTATTTATTTATTTAATTTCGATATTCATTTATTTTATTTAGATATTTATTTATTTAATTTAGATATTTATTTATTTAATTTAGAATTTAGATATTTATTTAATTTAAAATTTAGATATTTGTTTACTTGATTTAGGTATTTATTTATTTAAATTAGAAGTTAGATATTTATTTATTTGATTTAGGTATTTATTTATTTAATTTAGATATTTATTTATTAAATTTTGATATTCATTTATTTAATTTAGATTTTAGATATTTATTTATTTGATTTATTTATTTATTTATTTAATTTCGATATTTATTCATTTATTCTCATTTACTAATCGATATTTTATTAAAAACACCGAAAATTTGATAAATTTTGAAGAAAAATTTAGCAAAAAGAGTTATTTCACTAAAGTTTTGTCATAATTTTAATTGCAAAGTAAAATTTGATTTATACATTGTTTTAAATTTAAATTATATTTAATTAGTTTAATTAATTAAAACCGTTATTTTCTTCTTTTTTCTCTTTATTCCTCTCTCTCTCTCTAAGGTAATTTATATGATAATGGAAAATTTTTTGAATTGAAAAAATGATTACTTAAATTTTTATACAAATGTAATTTTTAATTAAGTATTTCATTATTTGTAAATGATAAAATAAAGTATTTAAATCAAATTCTTTTTATAATTATTTTTAATTAAGTATTTCATTACTTGTAAATGATAAAATAAAATATTTAAATCAAATTTTTTTATAATTATTTTTAATTAAGTATTAAATGATAAAATGAAATATTTAAATCTTTCATAGGTATAAGAAACAATTTAATTATCAAACTTTTCTCATTTCTCGTTGAATTAATCGAGATGATATCATCGATGATTATCTCTCAGAGAATAGTTAAGTAAATTAAAAAAATAAATAAAAAAAAAAATAAAAAGAAAAAGAAATTAAATTATCGAATGCCTAAAAAGTGTATCAAATTAAAAAAAAAAAAAGATATAAAATTTCAAAATTAATTTCGAGAATTTTTTATTTTAATTATAAATTTTGTCTTAGGTAGTTACTTTTTTCATTTTCTTTTCTTTTTTTTTCCTAATTCAATTATTGAATTTTTAAATTTAATTAGTATTTGTTGACATTTCATTTTTGAATTTTAATTTTTCATGCAAAAAAAGAAAAAAAAATAAAAATTTAAATATAACTAAATGTATTCATTGAAATAATATTTATTATTATAAACAATTTTACAAGAAAAAGAAAAATAATTTTGAAATTTAAATTTTTTATTTGAATTTATAATTAAAATTCATGATATAAATGCCTTATAAATTTTTTTTTTATTTTTACTTCAAATTTAAATTTATCAATTCAAGAAGAAATTTTAATTTTGAAATTTAAATTTTTTATTTGAATTTATAATTGAAATTCATGATATAAATGCCTTATAAATATTTTTATTTTTTTTTTTTTAATTTTTACTTCAAATTTAAATTTATCAATTCAAGAAGAAATTTTTTTTTTTTTCTCTTTCTTCTTTTTTGATTTGAAATGAGACAAATCTTGTTATCTTTTTCCAGCAAATAAATTCCACTCTTTCATAGCTTCTCAAAAAACTAATTAATGAATTCAACTAAAACGGCAGGAAGCATCATCATACCCTCATTAAGTATCACTTTTTTTTCATTTTTTCATTTTTTTTTTTCAAATTCTATTCAATTTTAAATTGCCTTCAAATATTCATTCATTAGCTTATAAGAAAAATGTACGACGAAGAAAATTATTGCTGCATTATTTTATTTTCATATTTTATTTTTTATCAAATGAATTTTTCATCAATTATAATAGTTGCATCAATAATTTTTTTTTTTTCAGGAAATATTAAAAAATAAAAAGTTGCATTTTGTTTTTGCTCAATTTTGGAAAAGAAAAAAAGAATTTTTTTTTAATTTAAATTTAAATTTTATTTACTTATTTTGCAAAATTATTTAAAAAGCATTTAATTGATTAGCAATAATTTTATTTTTATCAAATGAATTTTTCATCAATTATAATAGTTGCACCAATAATTTTTTTTCAGGAAATATTAAAAAATAAAAAGTTGCATTTTGTTTTTGCTTAATTTTGGAAAAGAAAAAGAATTTTTTTTTTAATTTAAATTTAAATTTTATTAACTTATTTTTAAAATTATTTAAAATATTTAATGTTAGTATTTTTATGCAATCAGAATTATTATTTATATTAATTATGATATGTGATAAAATTTGTGATATAAAGAGTAAATTTCATTTCATAAAAAGAAAGAATTTGAAGTCATAGTATTTTCAAACTCAGAAAAAAATTAAAAAATATTTTTCAAACTTTTTTCTCTATAATATTTAAAAAATTGTTTTTAATTTAAATTTAAATTTTATTTACTTATTCTGCTTTTTTTTTTTTTTTAGTAAATTCTTACATTCTTTTTATATCAATTTATTGCAGTGATTGATTAATCGTTGAAATTATTTTAAATTTTCTAAAACTTTAAAAGTTTATTAAATTTGATTTGATTAATTGAGAAATTTTGATGTTATCAGTGATAACGTTGAGAAGTTATCAGTGATAACACTCATTTCATTTACATTTAATTTTAGTTTACTAAATGATTTCGCTTCTTCTTTTTTTTTTGAGAAAAAGCATTTTAGTTAGTAATAGAAGAAAAGAGTAATGGATATGGTCAATAGCGCATGTGGCGCTAATGTTCCCATCGAGTTTGTTGTGGGCGGAAGATGAGAAAGAAAGAGAGAAAAGATATGAAATTTGATAATTTCGATGGAAAAATTAACCGATAATTTCAATTAATAATTGCTAAAATATTTATTCCAAAAACAAAATCATTTCAATGTATATTTCAATTTCAATTTAAGTATGTAAGTTTTTCATTTTTCAATTTCAAATATTTTTTTTTAATTCCTTTTTCATTAATCAATGTTTTTGTTGCAATAGTAAATGTTATTATTATTATTATCGAATCTAATGAATATTCCAAAACTAAGCTAACGAGTGAATTCATTTTATTTGTTTGATTTAAATTTTAAAATTATTTAAAATTTAAATTTTAAATAAGCAACAAAAAAAAAAAAGAGAAAAAAAAGGCAAATAATTAAACAAGAAATAGATAGAATAAAAGTAATAAATAGAGAAAAGATTTTTTTAAAAAAAAAAAAAAAAAAGAGAGAATGAATAGAAGAAAGTATTATCATCAGAAAACAAAAAATTATTTTGTTTAAAAGTTTGAAGTTTCGGAAAGGATTTTGTCGCATGAATTTTAAATTGAAATATGACGTAAGGACTGCTAAAGCAAATTTTTATCATTTATTATCCTATTATTATTTTGTTTATTACTATTATCAGTTAAATATATTTTTTATAATTTATTATTATTTTTTGTTATTATATTATTATATTTTTTATTATTATTATTTATTAGTACTATTATTATTTTATTATTATTAATATATTATACATTTTTTTTTATTAATATCATTTAAATATATTTTTTATTATCGTTATTCATTTATTATTATATTATTATATTTATTATTATTTATTATTATTATTATTATTTATTACATTTATTACTAACATCTCACTAATATATTATGTTTTTCTATTATTGTTATTTAAATATATTTTTTATATTTCGTATTATTATTTTTTTATTATTATTTTTGATTTATTATTATCTATTATTATTTATTACTACTATTATTATTTGTATTATTATTATTATTATTATTATTACTATCATTATTATTATTATTATTATTATTATTATTATTATTATTATTATTACTATTATTATTATTATTATTATTATTATTATTATTATTATTATCTATTATTTATTACTATTATTATTATTATTATTATTATTGTTATTATTATTATTGTTATTATTATTACTACTATTATTATTATTACTATTATTATTATTACTATTATTATTATTATTATTATTATTATTATTATCATTATTATTATTATTATTATTATTATTATCATTATTATTATTATTATTATTATTATTATTATTATTATTATTATTATTATTATTATTATTATGTTGTACTGCTATACCAAATATTTTAAGGTTGAAAATTTTTGAAATTAGATATTAAAACTAATTGCTATCATATCAGATTAGCAACTATTTCTATATAAGATGACACTTTTTATTTTTTTTTTTCTGTCACCAACAAATGATTGTCCTTGTACCAAATGTTAAATATTAAAAATAAAATAAGGCGCAAATGTCATCGTTTGGTGACAAGTGCAGTCTCGAAATTAAGTCGAAATTTGTAATAAAAAATATTTTTTATATCGATTTATTACATTAATGAAAATGGAAAAAAAAAAAAGCAAAGATTAGAATTTGAAATGTCTTTTTTTTTTTTTATTTCGAATAATTTTTTAAAATTATTTATGCTAATTTATAATTATGTAAATTTATTGTTCAACTCAAAAATGTCCTTTTTAGCATTTGAAGCTATATCATTTCAGGAAAATGAAAATTTATAAATGACAAATTTCTGGAAAGAATAGAAATGATTTTTGATGCTATCTAAAAGTTTTTGACATTTTTTAATTTTTAAATTATCTTATCTAAATTCAATTTCATATTCTTATCTTTTCATTCCTTCCGATTAATCTTTCTTTTTTTTTTGTTTATCAAATTAATATTTACTATTTTAAATGAAATTTCAAATTACAAATTCCATAATTATTTTTCTATTTCATTTTTCTATTTCATATACACTTTCAGATTTGTGCTATTGATTTTAAGTTTATTTGACTCGTTTGAACAGATATTTGACCTGTTTGAACTGATATTTGATTTGCTTAAATTAATAAATGACCTGTTTAAACTAATAATTGACCTGATATTTGTTTATCTGATGCTAGCAACAATGTTGTAATTAATTATATTGATAATGATTATTTATTGTTTTTTCTTTTTTTTCCTTTTTTTTTTGAAAATAAATTGTGAATTTTAAAATTCCCAAGATTGCCCTCAAAATTTTTTCATTAAAATAAATTTAATTTTTAAATTAAGAAGAAGCAAATGACATAATGACGTATTTTCATTTATTTCATAAATCCTTCACGAAATGAAAAAGTTGAAAAAAAGAAGATTTTTAATTAATAATTATTAAATTCAGAATCTCTTCTTTTAGCAATAAAATTTGAAGCAAAAAAAAAAAAGAGAAAAAAACACTTTTAATTTTTTTTTTTTTTAACCGTTTATTATCGAATCTTCTCGTAATTTTTGCTTGAACGTCATTTTTGAACTTTTTAAAAAACCTTTAATTGTAAATATAATATTTAAATTTGCGAAAAAATTAATATTTTAATTTAAAATTTTTATTAATTAAAAAAAACTGTTTTATTAATCTAAAAGAAATCAAAAATAGAATAATACAAAGTAGTTTATTTAACATTTATTTAATTAATTGTGCGATAACTGTAAATGAAATTTGAATTAAACGAGATTTTAAAAATGTTACAATTGTAATTTAAAGAATTTTTTTTTCTCCTCTAGAAAATAAATTTTGCTAACTTTTTTTTTTTAAAAAATAAAATAGTTTTTTTTTTTTTTTTGGAACAATATATGACTTTTAAATTTATGATAAACTCTCAAATTTCTAATTTTGAATAATTTACTTATTATAATTTTATTTTCAAATCCATTTCTTCAATGTTTTTTTTTTTTTTAACTAAAAGCTATAAAATTGCTTTTTTTTTATCGAAAAAAAAGTGTTAAATTTTAAATTTAACTTAAAAAATTCTTGCTATGAAGAAATTTTTTATTATTAATTGAAAAAGCAAAATAAAATTTCATAAAAGTTCTTGAAATTTCTAAAATCAATTTGCTATACATTATTGTGTATCAAATTTTAGCAAAAAGTAAAAAAAAAATGCAATTTTGATAAAATTTGTAATTTATTCTAAAATTGTAAATTTATATTTTTAAATTTTTATTTCATGAATGGTTCAGCAATAAAATCCTGAATTATTTCATGGATTATAATAATACCATTGACGAAATCGACTTAAACAACGTTTGTTTGTTACATTTTTTTTATTCAATTAATTAAATATTTAAATTTAAATTTTAAAAAAGGAAGAATATATTTTTATTCGATTAATTAAATATTTAAATTTAAATTTTAAAATTTAAATTAGAATAAATGATCTTTTCCTCCCATAACAAACATTACTAATGATTACTAATTTTTTTTGTTAATTTCAAAAGAAAACTTTTAGTAGCACCTAGAAATTTACAAAAATTAATAAATTTAATTTGAAATTAAAAATAAAAAAAAAAAAAGAGTTACAGGTTAAAATTACTTATGTTTTACCATTTACAAATCATGATAATGCTGGTCTGATGGCAATTGCATCACTTTATGCATTTTTATTTATGCTTGGTACTTGTGGAAATGCTGCTACGTTAGCTGTTGTATTTCACGTTAGATCTGTTGATCCGAGGTAAATAATTGGAAATTAATTATCTAAAAAAGGAATTGATAATTCATTTTTTAATTATTACATTGTATTTTGGAAGATATATTTAAAAAATGATAATAGCTGCTAAATTATTTTTCATATAATTTACTTTTTTACTTTTTACTTTTTTTTTTTAAAAAAAATTAGTAAAATTTTAGATAATATCTGCTGAATTATTTTTTCATACAATTTACTTTTTTACTTTTTACTTTTTTTTTTTTTTTTTTTTTTTTAATTAGTAAAATTTTAAAATTATAAATGATCCATTTTTTTTTTTTTTTTTTTTTTAGAGCTCGACAAAATGCTACTTTAACTTACATTTGTGTTTTAAGTATTATTGATTTTATAAGTATGCTACCATTACCGATGACAATTACTGATCAAGTATGAATTTATTTGTTGTTGTTGTTTTTTTTTACTTTACTTTACTTTACTTATTTAAAGTATTATTTTTTTTTTGAAATAATATAATTTTTATTTTAGATATTAGGTTTTTGGATGTTTGGAACGACAATTTGCAAATTATTTCGATTATTTGAGCATAGTGGAAAAATTTTTAGTACTTTAATTTTGGTATGTTTCAGTATCGATAGATATTGTGGAGTTTGTCATCCATTAAAGGTATATTTATTTGTTGGAAATTTTTTTTTTTTTTTTAAATTTGCTTTGAAATTTAAATTTTTAATTACAAAAAAAAATTTTTTTTTTTTGGTAAATTTAAAAATTTTTAAGAAAAAATTCTTTCATTTGAACAAATATATGAAAATTAAATTAGGTTGCTTTGCTGCTAGTAAAATCATTGTTTGGCATTATTCACATCACAAAATTATTAACGAAATTGAACTTTTAGCACTTTACTGAAAAAAAGCATCCGGTTTTAATTTCAGGTTGAATTACGGAAAACAAGGACAGCTTATTTTATGCTAACATTTATGTTTTGTATAACTTGCATTATGCTTGCTCCAATCATAATTTTTGCTCAGTCAAAGGTTCATTTAATTTCTTTGTTTTTTTTTTTTTTTTAAATTTTATAAAAATTATTGAAATATGTTATATAAAGAATAAAATTTTAATTAAATGAGTACCAAAAAAATTTTTTTAAATTGATGGAACTAATAAACTTATAATTTAAAATAATAAATTAAATGGAAAATAAATTTTAAAAAATTATAAATTAAAAATAGGTGTAAAAAGAATAAAACAGAATTAGTTCAAGAGATAGTAAAGTATATTTAAATAAATTGTAAAAATTTACGAAAAAGAAATGCAATTGACAAATGTAATAATTTTTTTATAAATTTCTTTTAAATTTTAATTGTTTTAAAATTAAATTAAAATTAAATTAAAATTATAGGAAATAATTTTACACGAAAGTTATAACAGGGAAAAGAATGAAATAACACGGCTACATTTATTCAAATGCGCTGATAATTTAGACAATAAATTATTTATTTTATTTAGTTTAACTTGCTTTATTTTTGTAAGTTTTTTTTTTTTTTTTAATTATTATTATTACTAATCTTTGTATTTGTTTTTTTAATTAAATTAATAATTATTTTAATTATTAATTCTAATTCTTCAAAACAAAAAAAAAAATGTTTTATTAAATTTCTCTTTTAATTTTTTAAAATTTTTTCTAAAAAAAAAAAGATTAATCAAAAATTATAAAATAAATTTTTTTTTTTTTAAATTCTGGCAAAACAAAAAATGAAAGAATGTGAAGAAAAGATGCATACCATTGAATATTTATTCAAATTATAATTTCATTTTAATTTCAAATATAATATATTATTCAAAATAATATTTCATTTAAATCATTTTGTTTAATTCTTTTTTCAGTTTAAATTTAAATTTACATTTTAAAATTGATAAAAAAATATATATATAAAATTTATAATTTTTTATTTAGGCTTATCTAATTCCATTGCTAATGATGGTTTTTTTTTATTTTCGAATGTTACTAACATTATTTGAAAAGAGTCGAACGATAAGAAACGGAATGCATGCATTTTTTTTCCGGAAATCCTGGATTGAAGATAAAATACCGGTGATAAGGATTGCTACTTATACACTTCTTTTATGCTTATTTCATTTTGTTTGCTGGTTTGTTCTTGTTTTCCTAATTTATTGATAAATTTACGAATTTACAATTTGTATCTTTAAGTTTTATCATTTTTCTGAAATTTCAGTAATACTGAAATTATTTTTCTCAAATTACCGTAATTTTACAAGTGATAGTATAAGGATGAACTGAAATTAAGTGATAGTATAAGTTGAAATGAAATTGCAATTAAACTGAAATTAAGTGATAGCATAAGGTTGAACTGAAATTAAGTGATAGTATATGGTTGAAGTGAAATTGCAATCAAACTGAAATTAAGTGTTAGTATAAGGTTGAACTGAAATTAAGTGATAGTATAGGGTTGAACTGAAATTGCAATTAAACTGAAATTAAGTGTTAGTATAACGTTGAAGTGAAATTGCAAAATTAAACTGAAATTAAGTGATAGCATAAGGTTGAACTGAAATTAAGTGATAGTATATGGTTGAAGTGAAATTGCAATTAAACTGAAATTAAGTGTTAGTATAAGGTTGAACTGAAATTAAGTGATAGTATAAGGTTGAACTGAAATTAAGTGATAGTATAAGGTTGAACTGAAATTGCAAAATTAAATTGAAATTAAGTGATAATATAAGGTTGAAATGAAATTGCAAAATTAAAAAAAATTAAAATTAAAAAAGGTTAATTAGTTATGATTATTCATAAAATAATTGGTAATCATTGAATTGTTTTCAAATTGCAAACAAAATCGATTTCATTTTTTATTTTGAATTGATCCATTTCCAATTTGTTATGATTTAATGATGGAAAAAGCAATTTTATCTCTTCATCTATTCATATCCCATTCCTGATAAGTTTATCATTTAGATTGATCTGAATTAAAATATAACAAAAAATTGAGTTTAAATTTAATTCTATTCTAGCAGTTATAAGATTTCAAATTTTTTGAGTGCATTTTTTTTTTGAAATCTTTTTAATGAATTTGAATAACAAATTATAAAATTTAATTTTCTTCATTTTTTTCTTTTTGCGCAATTTTTTTTTTTGAAAACATTTGCATTAATATATTTTGGAATAAATTAAAGTCAAAAAAACAAAAAATTATTTATTTAATTATTAATTATATTTACTTATAATATTACTCCAAGAAAAAAAAAATTTTAAAAAAACTAATTTTAAATTATCAATGATAAATTTTCAGGACACCATATTGGATATCAGTTAATTTTAAATTATCAATGATAAATTTTCAGGACACCATACTGGATATCAGTACTTTATTTACTTTATCTTGAACTATTTCCGCCACCTGAATTTGAAATGCCCAATTTTCAGGACACCATATTGGATATCAGTTAATTTTAAATTATCAATGATAAATTTTCAGGACACCATATTGGATATCAGTACTTTATTTACTTTATCTTGAACTATTTCCGCCACCTGAATTTGAAATGCCCAATTCATCATTCATTTATTTTATGTATGGAGTGCATGCACTACCATATATTAATTCTGCATCAAATTTTATACTCTATGGTCTTCTTAATCGACAGGTAAATTTTTCCCTTTCTTTTTTTTTTTTTTTAAATTTTAAAAAATGAAAATTTTTTTTTTTAAAAAATTAAAAAATATGAATGTTTTATTGTTTTAATGTGATTTATTATAGCTAAATCAATCATGTTCAAAGAAATATTCAAAAACTTCACGAAAAACACAACGTCATTTGATTCAATTCAAAGCTGATTTCACCGATGATAATACATCGAAAATTTTACAATAAATAATTGTTTATTTTTTTTTTTTAAAAAATTTTTCTTAAATTGTTTTTTTTATTCCTTTTTTTTTCTTTCATATTAAATTGTTTTTTATAAATTAATTAAAGTCATTTTTAAAAAATATATATATATAATATGAACTAAGATTAATTAGTAAATAAATAAATTTCATATTAAATTGTTTTTTATAAATTAATTAAAGTCATTTTTAAAAAAAAATATGAAATAAAATTAATTAGTAAATAAATAAATAATATAAAAGATTAATGTAATAAATGTAAACAATAAAAAAAAAAAAAGAAATGCAAATAATCTTTGATCTATGTGTATTAAAATTATAGAATTTTCTAAAGTATTCATTGTAATTAATAAAAGAAATTTAATATAATTGGTAATTAGGAATAAATATAAATTATTTTCAAGTTTTGAAGTATTTAAGTTACTTTTTACTTTTAGTATTTTTAATTAATTTTATTAATTTTTTTTTTTTTTTTAAAGATATGTAGTAATTTCAAAGTTTCATTTTATACTGTCACATATCTTCCGTTGCTGTAGATCAAATGCTAATAATTTATTTTAGAGCCTAAATATTGGCGACAATTTTTGCATGGCGCAAATTTCTAGAACAAATTAAATTGTCATTTGTAAATTATTTTTTTCTTTTTTTTTTTGTTTCTTATCTAAGTGATATAAAATAAAGTTAAAAAGTTGAATTAATTCAAAATTTTCATATCTAATATATTGAAAAGGCAATTTAAATATTATTATTTTTGTATTCGAATAAATAAAAATTCATTTTTATGCAATTTTTTTTTTTTTACTCTTTTTGCTTATTTTTTTTAGTTTGATTTAATTTGTGATAAATTTATTTTGTAATTGTTTGAATAATTATTTTCAGTGAATGTTGGAATTATTGCTATATGTTTATTGATAAGTTAAATTTTGTTAACTGATAAATGTTTAAAATGTAATCAAATTAAGCTATGATAAATGATTAAAAGATCAAAGATAAATAATTAGTAAATGTTTTGTTACTAATTTGAAAATATATTAATGATAGCATTTTTTATTACATTACTTTGGATAGATTTCTATCAATTTCAATATTCAGTAAAAATTAAAAAAGTTGAAAAAGAGAATTTGCTAAATTCATAAAGTTAATAAACAAATATTTATGTATAAAATGGAAATGAATTAAGATATGAAATTGAAATTATAAAATTTTAATTATTCAATTACTATCGCAGTATTAAAATTTTTTTGATTTTCAAATAAGCAAAATTTCATTTTTTTTAATGCTTTTCGATTTTTCTTTTTCTCGCATCGTTAGTCTAAAAACATTTTAAATTGTAAAATTCTTCTAAAAAGTTATTTTAATCTTTAAAATTTCTAAAATTATTTTAATCTTTAGATGATTGCAAATATGTGAAATTTACCGGAAATTTTATTATTAGACTATTTATTATAAGCAGTGCAACTAAAATATATTATTGGAACAGTAATTTAAAATTAATTATAATCATTATTTAAGTCATTTGAGGAAATCATAATTGCAATTTATCACATTCACATTTATTGCTTCTCATTAAATTTGTTTCAGTTTCAGTTAAATTACTCAATAAATTTGAATATGATATGATAATAATGCTAAATTCATTTATGTAAAATAGTATACAAATAAATAAAATTATTAAAGTTAGACTGAAAATAATTTACATATGAATTACTTATTGCTTATCAAATTTTAGCTATATGCAAATAAAGTTAATAAAGTTGTACTCAAATTTTCAATAGTAGAAATAAGCTTAAAATTTAATTTAACAGATTTTGAAATGAAAATTTACTATTTCTAATGCATTCAAAAAAAAAAGAGAAAATTAGCAAATGTAAAATATTAGAAAAATATTTACTTATTATCAAAGTGATAGATATTAACTTGCTATCAAAGTGATAAAATACAAATTATTAGAAGAAACATCGATATTTATTATCAAAGTGATAAAATATAAATTATTAGAAGAATTATCATCTTTTTGGTAATTTTTTATTTTCAATTTTTTATTATCAAAGTGATAAACTCTTATTATCAAAGTGATGAACCCCACTTTTTGGTAATTTTATCTTTAACTGTCAAAGATATGCATTAAGATGGATGCTTTGAGTGACTTATTAACTAAAATTACTTTTAATTTTTCTTCTTGTGGTCTATTCTATGGCCGACGTTCTGAAATTTGTTGTCCCAGCCTTAATTTTATGCCTATTACTTTAAAGTTTACTTCGTTAGAGTGCTGAAAAAAATGTTTATTAGGTTAAATTTATAGTTTCCTATTTAAATATTTAGTTATGGTCTAAAAGATTTTAGACTTTTAATTATTATTTAATTTTATTTTTCTGACATTGCATATCAGTAAAATGTTTTATCGTAGCTTATGAATAATCGAAATAAAATGTCAATTTCAAGGTTTGTTATTTTTTTTGTTTTTAGAAAATGAATTTATAATTATAACTTTGCATTGATATAAGGTACTTTTATTTCTGTACTGATACACTGTTGAAGATTTAAAGTGATATTTTATTAATTTCTATGCAAATAAAATATTTGGTAAAGTTGAAAAAATTTTTTAAATGAATTTAAAAATAGTTAAAGTAAATTTAAAAGTGAAATTAATATTAGTTACTATCGCTGTTTGATACTGTATCAATTTAAAGTGATATTTTATTGATTTCTTAATTTATAATTATAACTTTGCATTGATATAAGGTACTTTTATTTCTGTACTGATACACTGTTGAAGATTTCAAGTGATATTTTATTAATTTCCAAATATTTGATAAAATTGAAAAAAAAATTTTCAAATGAATTTAAAAATGAAATTAATATTAATTACTAATCATTGTTGTGGGACAAAAATTGAATTAAAAAAAAAAAAAATTTCTTTTTTTTTTCTCTTTCATGCTTATTAATACTTTTTTGCTTGTCATACAATTAAATGAATGAAATGCATTTGTTTACATTTATTCCAAAAGTAAATAAACAAATAACAATTTGAAGGTTATAGCTCTCTCTGCTTTTGAGTTGACACCACTTGACCGCTTTTCTTGAAATAAAAGTGTCATTTTATAGGACAATTAAATGTGATAGAAATTGTGAAACAAAATTCATATCATATTTTGCTTTAATAATTATGCAAATTTTGATCTTTTCAAATGATATCAATCAAAATATTCTGATAACAGTTCTGATATAAAAATAATAAACACTTCTCTGCTTGAAATAACTCACAGAAGAAGAGACGAAAAATTGAATAAAGGTGAAAGGTCACCATTCAGAGAGATAGTGTTAAAAGGTAATCAGAGACAGTGTCAAAAGGTCATCAGAGACAATTGAAAGAAATTTTTAAAAGGCATACCGCCATTCTTTCGAGAATCTTTCCCTGCTGTATTCATTGATTACAAAAATAATTTATCAAGTGCTCTTTTAATGATTGTTCGATTAGATTAAATGTAATTAATTGCATTCATAGCTTAATTAATCTCAGGTATATTAATTAACCTGAATATGAGATTTAGTTCAGATTTAGTAATACTTCTATGCTATTGAACCAATGAATGAAATTAATTTTCAATTTTCAAAAAAAAAAAAATATTGCTGATTGTTTATAACCATTTGGGTATTTACTCATCTGCAAAATTTTCTCTTAAAATTGTTTACTTTGTAATTTTGTTATATTTTTATTTATTTCTGACTTTAAAAAAAAAAAAAAAAAAAAAGTTTGTGATTTTTTTTTTCTACAAAATTTATGCAATTAAATGTTTGAAAATGCAATAAACATTATTAATAACTCAAAAAGTATTAATTTAATTTCATTTTTAAAAAAAATTAAAAGTGAAAAAATTAAGTAATAATTAGGAATATTCAAATGTATGCCTTTTTTTTTATTATTATTATTTAGCGTAGCAGAAAAAGTAAGTATTAAATTTATAGTTAATATATTATTGTACCAATGAATTTAATCAGAAAGTATTAATTTAATTTCATTTTGATTGAAATTTTTTTTTTTAAATTAAAAGTGAAAAATTAAATAATAATTAAGAATATTGAAATGTATGCTTTTTATTATTTATTATTATTTAGCATAGCAACAAATGTAGGTATTAAATTTATAGATAATATATCACCTAAAACGTGGTAACCAATGAAACTAATCGTAGTGGTCGCTAAGGACCAGGTATATGACCAGGTGACCATAATCATTTACTCTTCAATGTGCTGTGCCCAAATGTCCTCATCGTACATATATGACAATGACTAATATTCATATACATGCATTATTGGTTTTGAGTAAATGAGACACCCATCAGATTTATTTGCCAGATACATGGGACATGGGACAGGGGGACAGGGGACAGAGGACAGAGGACAATGAAACGACAATGGGGACAATTGCTGTTGTCCTTGTCAAATAACACTCTCATCACTTTTCACTTTTTTTTTTTTAAAGGCTTTTTAAAAACTAACACATTGCAAAAATTATTATCATTTTATTCTTCATATATTTATTTAATTTTTTTTATTTATTA